CTCTCTCTCTCTCTCTCTCTCTCTCTCTCTCTCTCTCTCTCTCTCCTCCTCCTCCCGCCCTCCCTCTCTCTCTCTCCTCTCTTTCACGACGTATGAGAACGTCCGGCGATGTGGCCGCATAGAGCATTGCGCGGCGCGCGGCATGCATTATGGAACGAGTGGGCAACGATTCTGCTGGAAAAATTGCGGACACGCGAGACGGACGCGATCTGCAGCCCGACTATCTCCTCTTCATCTACCCATCCACGTGGAGCAGTGTCTCCCAATTTGTTATATGACGACCGAATCCCTTGGAATACGATCGGATATCATAAAGTTCGTAATTGCATCGACTTCAAGGGAAAACCGAAATTTTTCTTTTTTCTTTTTTTTAATATCATTTCCTGTGACTCTTATACGCATCGCGTGTATTGACTTTCATAAATCCATCTATATTACATATCTGCGCTATGTTGCAAAGGGACGATACTGAAAGCAAGCTTAATTTTCAATTAATTCTAATCTTCTAATCGAAACTTCTAGTTTTTTAAATTTTGAATTTTAATTTGCTAACATTTATGCGCTTAATGTTGACTTCAAATTTTATTCATTTCTTTGGAATAATAACAACAATCTAACTATGGATCTCGATATCTTTCCTTTCATCAAATATCATCATATTCAATTTTTATAAAGAGGTGATATAAAAAAATCCCATGCAAATTATAACAATCAATTGAAGCAGATAAAAATGAAATAGATAAAATTATTTGAGGCCATAAATTAAGCTTCCTATTTTCATTTTACTCCAAGTTCCGAGAAAACACCATTTGGGAAACACTGATATAAAGATACCTACGATCTACTAGATACCGATCTATGCATTACCAACCTACACTCTCAGTCGATTCTCGTGATATTCGTCGTGGAAGATTGCTTTCCTATATCCCATCTTCCCGGTTACGACTGCTTTCCATTTTGTAAGAAACGTCGGGAGGTCTCTATAATGTAAACGCAACGTGTCCAACGTCTTCAATCACGATTGTATAAATATAAGCAGCCCATTTACTGTAAGAGGAATTCCACGTTTTTGAAATAAGGGCGCGTTTCCTTAAAGAATTAAATATTGTATATATCATAGAATATTATAATAATTAAGTC